CTCTCTCTCTCTCTCTCTCTCTCTCTCTCTCTCTCTCTCTCTCTCTTTCTCTCTCAAAAAAAAGAATTGTAATGCATTCCACTGTCATATATAAATTAAAAAAAAAAAATCTCTTTCAATCCACTCCTGACTAAGCTTCTCTCACTTCACTCATTACCCTAAATGCTAGCAAGGATAAAGCGGGAATAAAATAGTATGGCTACTCTGGAAAATGACAGTTTCTTACAAACTAAACATGTAACTACTGTATGACCTAGAAAATACACTCCTGAGCATTTTTCTCAGAGAAATAAGGAGAGAATTTAAAGAACCTACCAAGTAATGAGAGAATTTAAAGAACCGACCAAGGAAGTCAGGGGAGTATTTGATTATTCTAAATAAATGTCCTCAATTATATTCACATCTCCAAGGTTTATCATGTGATGAAGAATATATGCCAATTAACAATTTTAAGAGCTTCCAGATGGACCCAGGTACTTCTCCTATCTCAGTATGAAGGCCATGTCCTCCCCATTGCCTAGCATTCTTACACCAAAAGATGAGCTTCAGATTACACACACCCCACATTACAAACAGGTGATCATCTATAATCCAGTCACAAAGAAGCCTGTTAAAATCCTTTAAAGAAAAATAAAATGCAGAATGAAGCAGATAGAGCTATCCTAAAATAAAGAATTAATGATTTTTTTAAGAACAGTTAAACAGAAGATCATAAAGCATCACCTAAGGAAAAGCAATTTTCTACCCCTTCAAATAGCTGAGTACATTCCATTTGAGTCCAGCAACCATGCCAAATGTAAGACAGACTGGATCTCAGTACATCATAAGGGGATATTCCCAAGCTTTTGGAGGAACCTTACATTTCTTAGCCTCCAAACCCCAACAGAAGACAAAGATCCTTTGTAGTGCTCCAAGAACACTAAAGTTGTAAAAATTCACATAGAACTGAATTTCTAGATCAATGCATGGTAGTTTATTTGAATCCTACTTGTGCTTCTCTGACAACAGGATCAATAGTAGTATGTGTGTAGGGAAAGAAGAGGCTTCATCCCAAAGTGAACATGCACAAAGTCTCAGTAACTCCAAACTTTTTCCGCTAGGTAAGCCATGAATGTAATCAGGTGTTATATAACCTACAACACTATAGTATCCTGAAGACCTCAACCCCTATCCCTCTTCTGATTTTGAGTCAAGGACCAAAAAACTTGAGTTCCAAATAATATGTCAAAACCCACCCCTAGGTTATGGGCCTGGCCCACCTAGCAGGGTTCCATGTGGGTCAGGACCAAGATGATCATCATTCACCTTATACTATAAGGAATATGGGAGTCAGAAAGTATGCTGAGCAAAGAGCTTAAGATAGAAATCAATTCTTAAGCCAAATTGAAGAAAAAAAAAAACCTAGAAGGTCAAAAACCATGAAGCCTGAAGGAAATAGTGAGCATTAAATCACAACATCAGAGATCAAAGTATCAAGGAGATGAACAAGCAACAGTGAGCTCAGAATAAATTGAAAGGGACCTTGGGCAGTTAGTAGGAATAGGCTTTTCTGACTGAACCACCCTTGTGTCCACAGAGGCATTATGGTTAGCTGTATTATTAGATCAAGGATAAGAAGGCAGACAAGGAAAATGGGAATGAGTAGGAACCACCACAACATCTGTACACTCAACTCAGTGAGGTGAGTACCAAACTCAACACTTTCTTTTATCATCATTTAAAAACTCCTCCCATGATCTCCCCTGTGTTCCACTGGGAATTCCTAGAAATGGCAAAACCTAAGAGGGTTTCGATGCTTATTCTCCAAAATAAGTACCTGATCTTTGGTATCAGTGCTTAGGTTTAAAAGGAACAGCAAATTCCCAGGAAGTGGTTTGAAAAGGTAAATGCAGAGTGACTACATTGCAAGAATATATAAACACAGAAAGGAATGAAATTTGACTGGAAAAACTTTAGGAATTAGAATGAAAAGGCTGGCAGTGAGTGAACCGGGGGTGAAATGCTTAGGAATCATCAAATGGCCAGACTGGTAGAGAGGCAGGCAGTGGAGACTTTCACATCAGAAAGCATTACTTTAAGGTTGATATGTGTAACCAAGGCAGTAGAAGAAGGCAGATTAAAAGGTTCCCACATTTCTCTCACTGGCTCTTGAGACAGGGAAATATCTTCAGTGCTATGATGGGTGGTTTAAGTATTTCTATTCCCTGCAGATGTAGATTGTATCGATTGCAGAAGAGATATTCCCCAAAGACAAGAAATCTCATCAGAGAGAAATTCAAAGCAATGATATAATTCTATTGGGCAATCATGAGAAAAATACTAGTAACCTCATTGTTCCTTTTGGGCAGGTTTCATTCTCCAAGGCTATCACCCTGTGCAATGAGGAAATTCATGACTACTGCCAAGGGACCTGAGGCTGAGTACCAGAGAGCACAGTTGCATGAATCAAGCATATGAGCCCCAAACAAGAAAAAGAAGTAAGGATTATCAATGCAAGACTAGGATTGAGGCATACAGAAGCCACCTGGGTCACATTTGGTGCTGCCACTCAGATTTAAGTTCACATCATTATCTAATGAAAACAAAGAAGTGCACTATAAATTTGCAATTTTTATAAAGGTACTACATACTTTTTTATCCTGAAGGAACTGACTAAGAAAATAAGAAACAAAGGAGCTATTCCATTTCTTTAAGCATCCTCTCATTTAAATGACTCTGCCTGGGAAGGTCCTCTTACACTACATCCTCCTTCCTTCCACATTTCCTTACCGTCCTCACCACTACCAATATGTCACCCATTCTATTCACACATGTGAGTAAATAAAGCAAACAAATATTGTCTGTTAGTTCTTCCATATAAATATACTTTATTAAGTGAAAAGAACATTCCCTTATGCTGGATAAGACATCCAAAGAAGGAATAAGAGGGAATCCTGGAAGATAGACAAGGCTTGCCACGGAAACCTGATCATTGACCTCAGAATGCAATCTTCTTCTATCTGCAAATTGAAAAGTACAAAAGAGGGAGTGAGTGGCAGTATCAGTCAGTAGTGAGAAACTAAATAGTATTTCACCATGGAATATAGATTTTTAAATGTGATAAAGTAGATGGAGCACTACACTATTAGCTCCAAGTATATTTTATGAAATTTAAATAAGGGTCAATGATGGAAGCTTCTATACTTAAACAAACTCTGCAAATGCTGGATCAAACCAAATATCTTTCTGCAAGACCTCTCAGAGTCATCACTTGCCAACTATGGACTGGGAATTCAAAAGGGTGGAGGGAAGCAACTGTAGTAAAATAGACTCACACATTTCCTACTTAAAAACAAAGTTCTATGGTCAAGTATAAACATCAAATATCTTTTAAGGATTGCTGTTTTCTAGAACTCACTTTGGAAAGCACAGTATTAATGAAAGCTGATATAAATTAAAAGGGTCTAGGATAAGGATATCATCAAAGACACAACATGATTCTTGGGAGACCAGATAAGACTGAAACTCAAAGATGTAATTAGGTGGACTGCATCTCACTGAAGTGGACACCTGGGTGTGGGACTAATCTGAAGATAAACTAGATGGGAATAAAATAACCAGGTGGAAGGAAGAAGGCAAATCTCATAGAAACTTTCCAGTAGAGTCAAAAGTAGCAATTAAAGATTTAGAAAAGGGTTACACAGAGGCAAGGGAAGGCCCTCAGGAATTCAGATATGGATGGCTTTACATTTGTGTGACTCTGGAGTTAGGATACACAAAGACAGCCCCTGAGTCCATAAAATAATGTGCTACCAGGGCTTATTAATATGACAGCTTTATTTGCAGAGTAATGAAAAGAACACTAATCTAGGAGTCATGAGAACTCAATTCTTTTTCAGCCCAAGGGTCTGCTAGAGTCAATTTGTACCAACTGCAATCAAGGCAATTACATGCATCTTTTCCTAATTCCACACTGAAGGCTGGTAGCCGTAGGAAAGTACTTAAACTACAGAAACTGCTAAACTTCACAAAGCACAACTTTCTTCAATCTTAACAACCCTCATTCCACACACCCTTCGATGCAGGCACAGAGGTGCTTGTTTAACATTTACCAGCACTCCATGACCTAGGTTTGTAACTTATTTGTTGACAATAAACAAAGATATAAAAATTATAAATTGCATACTTTCTAACACATTTAAATCTTATTCATTAAAACAGCATCAATAGAGTTAAAATATATTAACTATGAGGAAGATGAGTGATTTTATTTGTGAAGAAAAAGGGCAGCTATTAGAGTAACCAAAATAATTTTGTACCCCACCCACCCTTGGCGGGTCATGGCTCATGACTTGAGAACCAATAGGCTCTTTGGCGATTCTCAAAAATGAGCAAAACCAGTCATCAGGGACATTGCTGAAATTCAGCCACCACTGAGGTTCCATCCCAGAGGATCCTCATAAGAATCTCACGTATAAAAACAGCAGATTGAGCTTCACCTCCCTAACTGGTTCTCTTTCTTTACCTTACTTCTGCTTCAGGAAGTGGTCCTTTGTAACCATACACATATATCTGCTTATAGCTAGAGTGACCTTACAATTTGCCATCCAATCTGGTACACTTCGAGCCTGAAAGGAGGTTCTACTGGTAACAACCAAATTCCACAGACACAACAGGTATAAACAAATAGACTGCCTCAGCAAACTGCTATTTACGGTGTGTTCATCAGCTAACATTGTGAAAAATACCTGAAATAATCAACTTAGAAAGAGGAAAGAATATATTTAGCTCATAGTTTCAGAGGTTTCAGTGGCTGTTGGTTGACCTGTTGGTTTGGGACCTATAGCAAGGAACTCATGGTGGCAGAAGAAACCGCTCATCTCATGGCAGCCAGGAAGCAAAGAGAGATTCAGGAGCAGGCCTTGGTCCCAATAACCCTTTTAAGAGCACATCTCCAGTGACATAACTTCCTCCAAAAAGACCCCACCTCTTAAAGGCTCCACCAACTCCCAATGTCACCATGACTGAGGGGAAAGCCTTTACAATATGAGCCTTTGGGGGACACTTCAGATCCAAAGTATAGCAAATGGTCGTGCTATTTATAGCAAATTTGAAAAATCTAACTCTTGGGAACTTTCTCCCACTTACCTTTATTCTTCCTTTTGGAGCCATAACCATCAATCTAATTTCATTGATATCCTTTTACATTAGAAGACAGCCAAACTGACATCCCGCCTGATCCTTTAACCATTTTTTACTCATAACCATAATTTGTAAAACAGAATCAAATGTGGTTTAAAGGGATGATGGACCTAGACAACCTGTTGTCATCTACTTGCTCCGTAAGGTGATGCCTAAGGCACCTCAGAGCCAAATTGGTAGTTTGAAAACCCTGCTGACTAGGTGAGCAGCACTAGATGACCATTTCAATACAAAATTAAGTTTCAGAATTCTTGGCTATCACTGCATTTTGAATGCAGAAACAATACAGCAAGAAAAAAAATAATATACAATAGGCTTGCAATTGTTATCATTAAGGTAGTATTTCCACTTTAAAAAAAACATATTAAATAGACACAAAATTTTTTACATTGTAAAGCATAAAAAAATAATACAACCCACATTCAAGTAACCATTAACAAATTAAAAAGAATGTTACATTATATTTAAAACTGCTTCTATTTATTCTTCCTTTCTTTCAACCTCCATACCTAGAATTTGTCTACATCATTCCAAGGACAATTGAACAGTGTATCTTTAGGTAAGGCCAGGAAACTCCAGGTGGAAAAGCAGGTGAAGACCCCACAACAGTGAAAATACAGCCTTCCATCTTGCATGATCCACAATTGGCTGGCAAGTCCTGGAGACTATTTTCCTAGAATGGTTTGAATTAATGGATAAAGACTCCAGACTTGGCTACTTCCCAAGCTGATTTGAAGTAGCTAATATAGAAGTGCCAATTCCATACAGCTGTGCAGAATGCTTAGGGTTTTAACTGAGGAAACAGTTGAATCTGGTACAGAAAACCTTCACAAACCAATGATTGTCACAGTGCTGTATGGCCAGAAATTGACTGTGGCAGTATTTTTAAAGGAAAAAAAATGTACTATTTAAATCTGAAAGCAGCAGTAAGCAAGAAACCTTATGGGAGCAGGGAGCTAAGGAACTTGTGATACGGGTCTTTTGATCACTAAATCAGAATGTATATTTCGAGATTCTATGTTTGGTCTTACATAGTCCCTGACCCCACATGTTGTTTAAACCTCATATGAGGATAAGACAAATTCAGGGAATAATTTTTTTATGAATAAGGTGTATGCTATTGAACATCTTTACACCCATGTGCTAAATTGTGTGCCACAAACCACTGGAGAATAGCACAGAGCTATTTAACAGGATTGTAATCGTGAGGCACAGCTAGTAAGTACAAAAGACATTTTAAAAGGGAAATATCTCTTTGGCTGGCATTAGAGAAGTCTTTGCAGGAGTAGCAACGTAAAATTGGATCTTGAAGAGAGAGTAGGACATAAGAAAATGGAGAGTACATACATCTTTATAACAAAAACAATCATCATTTTTTGACATCCAGGCACCATGCTAAGCACTTCATATGCATTATTACACAGAGTCTTCCAAATAACCCTTGGAAGTGTAATTGTACCCATTTATAGATGAGAAAACTGAGACTCAGAGATATTAAGTAACTTGTCCAATGACATACAATTAAATAGTAGCACTCAGGATTCAAACACAAGATGTTTGACTAAATAGCCATCATGATGCTATTCTGCCTAGGTAGAGGAACACCATGAGAGGAAGCCCAGAGGTGGCAGGAAGAAAGTCAGCAAGGATTGGCCATACTGAAGGGGCAGCAGGTACATATGTTTGGTCATTTATCTGCTGAAAAGCCTTACTTATCTGCTCTACCTCCTGTGCTTTGTGTATACAGATGCTCAAGATTGCTTGTTAAGTTTAATTGGCAATATAAGGGAAGATTCCTGCACAAGAAGCAATGACATAATTCTCTCTGCTTGTTATATCTTCCAGTTGGCTAATATTTTGAAGTTTGACAGGGCATGAACAGACTTATGGGGGAAAATATCTTAAGTACATCAATACAAGTTGGGAAACAAGGGATAATGCAAGAATAAATGTATGAGTAATCTTTCCATAAGTATAAGTTCATCTTTTATTCATTCATTTATTCAAAAAACACTTTCTAATTGGCCACTTTGTATTAGTTTCCACGCTGGGTCATGCAATGCTGGCCCCTCCAAAGGAACCAAGGGAGACGACATAGCTTCCATTTATGCTTTGAAACAAAACAGAATTCAGTTAGACACCTGCCTTATGCATTAAACAATAGGCATTGATCAAGCCCTACTGTGTGCTGGGTGTTATAAAAAATGAAAGCTTATATATTCCTATCCTCAAGGACCCCCAAGGATCAATGCACAGATGAACAAATAAAAATTGTAACACAATATAATGAGGACTGACTAAAGGAGAATTATAAACTCAAATAAATGCCTGTACCAAAGGAGGGTATAAAATCCTAATCTGGTCTACATCTATCGAGTTCACTCAAAATCGGTTTAGTAGTGTTCTGTCTAGGTTAATTAAAAAATTAATCTACCTATACTCCAAGGACCAAATCAGGTGACATCTGGAAGAACTGTAAAGCTCTAGGATTCTGAGTCTGCACTCCCCTAGCAATTGAGAAATCAGGACATCTTTTTCTATAGGCAAGAAGAATTAAAATATATATATAACTTGCAGAACAGCAAGCACAGCACTAAGACTTGCAAAGCAGAGTAGGTAGTGTTCACTAACAGCTTTTTTTGTGTGTGTGTGACAAGCCATCAAATGAGAAATGAATCATGTACACATAAATAGGTTAAAGTTCCAGTTCCACATAATAATAAAATGAGCTTTTGCTTAATTGTTGAACTCCAATATGTGAGTAACAGTCCTCTGAAATTCAGATTTTATTAACCAGAAAATAAAAATTCAAAAATAATGTCCCAGCAGTTCATGAGAAGTATAGCATTTTTAAAAAATTAATTTAGAAAGTTCAATTAAATGTATTTAGAAAACCAATTTCAGATCAAAGCTCAATGTCCAAACAGAGCATTATAACAAGGACAGCTTTTCCCTTAAAATCACTAAAGGAGAATGATCTTGGGATTTAATCAATAGTTTATGTGACATTATGCCAATCACTTATTGTTTCTGGCACTAAATTTTGTCATCTATAAAATAAGGAGGTTGGAGCTGGGCACAGTGGTGCATGCGTGTGATCCCAGCTGCAGAGGTACAGTGGGGGCAACTTAACGAAGACCCTGTCTCAAGATAAAAAATAAAAGGGGCTGAAGGTGGGATTCAATGACAGAGCACCTCTGGGTTTAACTCCCAGTACTGAAAAATATATATACATATTAAAAAACAAGGGGTTTTTACTAAAGACTCCATTTTTAACCTCTGCTATTTAGCAATGTTGAAAACTTAGTGATGGAAAATTCTAGACATCACAATTGAGAATTGCAGAGCAAGGAGGAAAAATATTTGAGCTTTGGATAACACTTTCACTGAACTGGTGTTTATGAGCTCCCTGGAGAGTGGAAAAGGATTCTCAGGTCTAATTCATACTCAGAGGGAAAGAGCCAAGAACTTTACCAATGTCTGGGTCAAGCAAGGGAGAAGAAGGACATATCAGGGCCATGTTTGTTCTAGTTGAATTCTCATATTTTTCTTTAGAAAACTTGGGCCTAGAATGTGATGTTATGCTTATTCTATGATAACAAAGCAACTGAGAAGGTAACAAATTCTTAGTTGAATTTTATTCCCTTTAAACTGCATTATTTTTTAAAATTAACAATTATTTTATCATCTTCCTTTGTTTCCAAAAGAAGCTAAAGTGACTTAACAAAAGTAGGTTCAGCAAAACAGAATCTATTTCCTTCATTTCATCAAACTCAATACTGTCAATTTATCCAGAGAATAACTCAGATCCTATCACGTTACTGCACTCAGTGATTCCTAAGATCATTTACCTTTCCTCGGCAGCTCTTCCAAGCCTGTATTCCAATACACTGCTCTATGGTTCTGCTTATGCCACACTGTAGACACCCTTTAGGGAGTGCATGGTCATCAAACAAGCCATCTACCCTTATCTAGGAACTAGATCTCATCTAGATCTTCTCCTAGAAACTATGCTTATTTGTGACTTCACTTTCCTCGTAGTAGTTCATAAAACTGAGAAAATATGAGGGTAAGTCTCCTTGCTGCCCTTCAATTAAAGAGTTAGGGTAGCCATTTCCCATTATGTGAATGGAAAAGTAAAGAAAGCAAGTCTTCAATGAGAAAGAATCAGTGGTAGAAGAAGAATTCCCTGGGTTCCTGATTGCTTTCCAAACCTTGATTTTAATTCCTTCATGAGACTGGTTGTATGTCTCCTATAAATCCCCCAAATCACCCTGGATGTTTACAGCAATTTCCCTGTTCTCCTTAGTCTATTCTTTTTGAAATGTTATAGTTTGATGATGAAACATCTCCCTAAAGTTCCTGTCAATGCAGGAATGTTCATAGGTGAAATGATTGAATTATGATAGCTGTAACTTAATCAGTCCATCCTGGTTTGAATGGACTAACTGGGAGGAAACTGTAGGGTGGTGTGGCGTGGCTGGAACAGGTCACTCACTGGAAGCATGTCCTAGAAGGTTTCATCTTCCCTGTAGCCTCTTTTCCTGCCTCTCTCTGCTTTCTGGCCACCATGAGTAGAGTAGTACCTTCATCATGCCCTTCCACCATGATTTTCTACCTCTTTTCTTGGGCTCACAGCAATGGAGTCAGCCCACCACTGACTGAACCTCTGAAACCGTAAACCAAAATAAATGTTTCCTCCTCTAAATTGCCCTTGTCAGGTATTTTGTTCACAGGGATGAGATGCTGATTGACACACTTCTCAACTTCCTGAAGTTGCCTGTATGTCTGCCTATAAGTTCCCTAAATAACCCTGAATCCTTACAGTGATTTCCCCATTCTCTTAACTTACTCTTCTTGGGTTCTAAGAATTATTAACCTGCATTCCGATCTGTGCCTTTGACTTATACTATACCTTGTCCCAAGTCTGTGCACATGAGGTAACTTCCTCTAAAAAGCCCCTTCTAATTCCCCTACAGACAAAGTCCTTCACATTTTCAACCTATGAACTCCTATAGCACAAATCTGCCTTAGATCATGCTTTCATGATTGTGTATTCTGTTTTTATCATAGTTTGTAATCTAATTGTGGAGAAAGATTGCTGCTTCATTCATTATTGTAATCTCCACATACCAAGCACTGTAGAAGGGGGCAGCTGTCAACCTTTATTTGTTAGAATAATAGCTGAACAAATGAGCACCTTTTATTCATTCTCCACGATTGTGTAAATTCCTAAGCCTCTCTTGTTAAGGCTGATATTGTAGAAACTGGAGATTTGCTCATCCAATTTACCCAGTTAATATGAGCAATGTAGACAGAAAATAGGATAATTGTGGCCCAGAAGTCTACTCCAGGGCCAGAATGATGCCATTTGGTTGTCAATATTGATCACGTTTAATTAGAAAATTGCCAGATCTCTGCTGTTCTTAGTGCTGTGTGGGCATCACCTAAAAGCAAAGGGATGACAAGCTGTTCTGAGCATCTGCAGTCTTTATGTAATAAACATGTTTTCATTTGAAAAAATCTGGCCTTTTTCTGAGCAGGATCAGTACATTTTAGAATTTCATTTCTTTTTCCTGTATAAACTTTCTTCACTGGTTTTGATGAGAGAATTGTTAATGTATAATTCCTAGAATTTTAAAAAATAATGTTAATTTATTTTAATTCACATCACATGACTGAGGATGGATTTGCCAGGTAGATTTAGAATAGGATTAAAAAATCAAGATTTGAGCATAAGAAAAAATTTCCTTAGGAAAAGAATGGAGTTATTTGCAGTGCACTGTAACTTTGTGAAGTTATTTATTAATCTGTCATGTACCTATGTCCCTTCTAAGCATCCCTTTGGTTTTTCATAACCTTATCAGAAAGCCCTTTCCAAATGAAAGCATAGCTATAATCACTGTCTTTTATGCTATACACTCAGTTTCCCAAATAGCCGATGACACTCATGGTGAGACTTGCTATTTTAGCTGTCTATATTTATGCTGATCCACCATTAGAATTGGGGGAAAATCTGTCATTCTGCAGTAATAGTTAACAGAGGGTTAGAGTGGCAAAAATGCAACTGTTCATTTTGCTAGTATTCATGATTTGAAATGGTCATTCAACAGTAGCCAATTTGCTCATCTTAGTATTCAGGCTTCAGCGTGGTGCATTTGCACACAGTTCCTGGCAAATGAACCTCAAGTCAGTTAATCAAGACTAAACCAAGGATTAAGACTCTTTAGATCTATGGCATTTTCTTATCTGTGCTTATCAAGTAAATATTCTTAAATTATGAACATGCAAGAATTCATCTAAAATTCATCTAAAAGGGCTATTGGGAAGGCATGATTTGATATCTCTAACATGAACAATTGATTGTCATATCTTCCATAATTTGAAAGTCACATTTTACCTGAGAGGAATAGGCCTCAGAAGATTAGTGAGAGAGAAATTTGAAGGAAGCCTTCCTTAACTTGCCAAATTCCTTTAAGCTATTTACAATAGAAAGTATAAATGCAGAAAATAAAATAAAACTACTTAAATCATCCTTAATTCTAATGTCCTGAGACAAGCAATTATTTTTTACGTTATTTCAATCATTTTACTATGCCTAGATAAACAATGAGTGTGTTTAAAATTTATGTTTAAAGTTAAAACAATGCCATACCACTTATACTCATTTTTTAATATGCTTTCTTTTTCTACCTAAAAATAAGGTATGAATAATTACCTGATCCAGAGGTTGGAAAATTCTTCTATAGAGGGCCAGATAGTAAATCTTGCAAGCTTTGTAGGCCATTTCATCTTTGTAGCAATAATCTAACTCTGTTAAAGCAGAAAAACAACCATAGTCAATATGTAAATAAATGGATACAGCTATGTTCTAATAACAGTTTTTAACTATTTTTTTTAACAAAAACAAGTTTCAGACATACTGTGTTCATGTATTAGAAGACAATAAAATAAAGATTAATTCTACCAAAATTTTTACACAACTTGATCATAATGCCTATTGATCCACAGTTTAAAAAAATATGTCATAAAGGTAAGATTATTATAATGCAAGGAACTAGAATTCAAACCATTTTAATAGAGAAAATCTAAGTGGGAAGAATCACTGCGTCCAATTTTAAGACATATTTAAAACTACAGCAATCAAGACTGTGTGGTGCTAATGGAAGCTAGACATATTGACCAACGGAACTTCACATAAAACCAAGAAATAGACCCACACAAATAACACAACTGTTTTTTGACAAAGGTAAAAGAGCAATTCAAAAGATAAAAGCAATCTCTTCAGCAAATGGTACTGGAGTATTAGACAACTACAGACCAAAAAAAAAAAAAAAGTGAACTTCAATCTAAACCTTATACTTTATACAAAAATTAACTCAAACTGGAACATAAATTTAAATGTAAACCATAAATGTTTATAAAAACTTTTCAGAGGAAATCTTTGGGACCTAAAGCTTAGTAAAGACTCCTTAGACATAATACCAGAAACAAAATCCAAAAAGGAGGGAAAAAAATCAATTTCACTTAAAACTGAATACTATTATTCATAAAAGTCCTTATTAAGAGAATGAAAAGAAATTTTAGAAAATATTTGCAAATTTTGTATTGCTACAGATTTACCATACTAGATTAAAAATAATAATAACAAGAAACAATGCTGGCAAAGATGCAGAGTAACTGTTGTCTTCTACATTGCTCAGGGACAGTCACTCAGAATCTTCTTGAAAAGCTAGACATACACTTACCATCCAACCTAGTGACTACATTCTTAGGCTTTAGCCCAGAGAAATAAAAACCATTATACACGCTCAAAAACCTATACACAAGAGTTCATGGCAGCTTGATTTGTGATAGCCAAAAACTGTAACGGCCATAGTATTCTTCAATAGGTAAACAGTTCAACAAAATGTGATGTATCCAGGTCATGAAATATAACTCAGCATTACAAAGAATGAGCTAGTGACACGTGCAGCAACCAACAACATGATGCATCTCCAGGACATTATGCTGAGCAAAAGAAAAAAAAAAACAATCACCTGCTTTAGGAAGTGACAGACTGTATGGTTTCACTTACAGACTGTATGGTTTCTGTATCTTGAGTATAGTTGTGATTACAGGAAGCTACACTCACATTGTTCTAATTTCAATTACATGGTTTATATTACACTATAGTTTTGTAAGATGTAACAAGTGGAAGAAACTGGGTGAGAGGTACACAGCACCTTTCTGTACTATCCTTGCAGCTCCTTGTGAATTTATAATTATTTCAAGATTAAAAGTTAAAAAACAAATAAATCAGGAGGCACGGCACTTTGCCATAGTTTGGCTATAGGTTTCTATTCCTGATCTAAACCATTAAATGATTTGGTGGTAACATTTTATTAGATGTACAAAAGTCTTTCCTTAAATATAAAATTTTATTTAAGCTATTCTCTTGTGTTTCCAATTTTCTCTTCATAAAACCCAGACCTAATACTAGAAAAACTAGGGATAGTAGGAACATATCTCAACATTGTAAAATCTATCTATGCTAAGCCCAAGGCCAACATCATTTTAAAAGGATAAAAATTGAAAGCATTCCCTCTAAAAACTGGAACAAGACAGGGAGACCTTATTTCACCACTTCTATTCAACATAGTCCTTGAAACTCTAGCCAAAATAATTAGACAAAAGAAATTAAAGGGATATGAATAGGAAAAGAAGAATTCGAACTATGATTATTTGCTGATGACATGATTCTATATTTAGAAGATCCAAAATATTCCACCAGAAAACTTATAAACTAATTAATGAATACAGCAAAGTAGCAGGATATAAAATCAATACGCATAAATCAAATGAATTTCCACACAACAGTGATGAATCCACTGCAAGAGAAATTAGGAAAACCAACCCATACACACTAGTCTCAAAAACAAAATAACAACAACAAAAAACCCACAAAATTTGAGACTCAATCTAAAAAGAGGTGAAAGACCTCTACAATAAAAACTATAGAACGCTAAAGAAAGAAAATGAAAAAGACCTCAGAAGATGGAAAGATCTCCCATGCTCTTGGATAGTCAGAATCAACATCATCAAAATGGCCATACTACCAAAACTGTTATAAAGATTTAATGGGGGCTGAGGATGTGGCTCAAGTGGTAGCACGCTCGCCTGGCATGCGTGTGGCCCAGGTTTGATCCTCAGCACCACATACAAACAAAGATGTTGTGTCCGCCGAAAACTAAAAAATAAATAAATAAATACTTTTTAAAAAAGATTTAATGGGATTCCTATTAAAATCCCAATGACATTCTGCATAGAACTAGAAAAAGCAATCATAAAATTCTTCTGGAAAAATAAGAGACCCAGAATAGCCAAAGCAATACGTAGCAAGAAAAGTGAAGCAGGAGGCATCACAATTCTAGACCTTAAACTATACTATTGAGCCATAGTAACAAAATGGCATGGTATTGGCACCAAAAAAGTCATGTAGGCCAATAATACAGAATAGAAGGCACAGAGAAAAATCCATGTAAATATGGTTATCTCATACTAGCCAAAGGTGCCAAAAATGTACACTGGAGAAAAAAATAGCCTCTTCAACAAATGGTGCTGGGAAAAATAGAAATCCATATGTTGCAAAATGAAATTAAATTTCCATCTCTCACCCTGCACAAAAATCAATTCAAAGTGGATCAAAGACTTAGGCTCTGGAACAGAGACCCTGAGCCTAATAGAAGAAAAAGTAGGCCCAAATCTTCACCATGTCAGCTTAGGACTTGAATTCCTTAATAAGACTCCTAAAGCACAAGAAGTAAAATTAAGAATCAATAAATAGGATGGATTCAAACTGAAAAGCTTCTTCTCAGCTAAGGAAACAAGAATCTGAACAAAGAGCCTACAGAATGGGAGAGAATCTTTACCACACACACCTCGGATAGAACACTAATTTCCAAGATAAAGAAATCAAAAAATTTACCACCAAAAAAAAAAAAACCACAAATAACTCAATCAATAAATGGGCTAGGGAAATGAACAGACACTTCACAGAAAAAGAAACACAATCAATCAACAAACATATGAAAAATGTTCATCATCTCTAGCAATTAGAGAAATGCAAATCAAAACTACACTGAGATTTTATCTCACTCCAGTCAGAATGGAAATTATCAAGAATACAAGTAACAATAAATTTTGGTGAGGATGTGGGGGGAAAAGGTACACTCAGACATTGCCGGTGGGACTGAAAATTAGCGCCACCATTATGAAAAGCAGTATAGAGATTTCTCAGAAAATTTGGAATGGAACCACCATTTGACCCAGCTATCCCACCCCTTGGTTTATACCCAAAGGACTTAAAATCAGCCACTACAGTGACACATCCACATCAACGTTTATAGCAGCTCAATTCACAATAGCTAAATTATGGAACCAACCTTGATGCCCTTCAACAGATGAATGGATAAAGAAAATGTGTTACATATACACAATGGAATATTACTCAGCCTTAAAGAAGAATTAAATTATGGCATTTGTAGGTAAATGGATGGAGTAGAAGATTATCATGCTAAGCAAAATAAGCCCAACCCCCCCCCGCAAAAAAAAAAAAGACTGAATGTTGAGAGGAGGAAATGTTTGAGTTTACAGGTTCAGAAATTCAGTTCATGATCAGCTGATTCCATTACTATGTGCTCAACATCATGGTAGAGAAAAATCCATATAAATATGGTTATCTCATGGTAGAGGACCATTGCTTTGTTGTTCATGGTGCCCAGGAATCAGAGGGAGAAAAAAAAAATAAGTGGAAGAGATCATAGGGAAGATTAACACTTCCCAGGGAACACCCCCAGTGATCCACCTTTTCCAGCCATGCTCCATCTAACTGCAGGTACTACCCTGTTAGTCCACTCAAACTAGGATGGACTGACTAGGTTTACAGCTCTCATAATCTAATAATTTCACCTCTGAATATTCTTGCATTAACACAGGAGCTTTGAGGGGACACTTCATATCTAAACTGTAACACTTCCTCTACTAACTCATTGGTGGCCACAGCCCCCTGTTTTATACCCAACATTAGAACAGAACCTGATAATGCATATTCATTAAAAATTGCTGGAATCAATGAATAAAGGTATCCACCAGAAAATGGATGTTCAGCTTGTTGAGAGTTCACAATAATAATATCAACAGTGTGTCTCTGGCACCATCCAATAAAATAGCCCCCTATTATGAATACAGCTGTCAGATCAAATGGAAGCCTACTCCTAAATCAGGGAGATTGACTCATCTGGCTACCATAGTTTGATGACCATTAAGATTATCCACATAACTTTTGTCATGCCAACCATAGACTCTTTAAGTCACATTTTAGTTATTATCTAGAGATGGCTCAAACTGAGTATAGGTTTCTGTTATAAAAGCTTAAATTTTCTTGTCCTTATAAAAATTATATTTTGATTGAAACTTAGTAAAGTGACACAGGATTTTTACATTAGTCACTTATAAATTTTATTATCAAGTACCTCTCCTACAGTTCCATAACCTCTGGAAGGTGGTGATCACATCAGTGTACAATCCCTCCTCAGTATTTGCAGGGATTGGTTCCAAAGCGCTCTCACAGACAGCAAAATCTGCAGATGCTCAAGCCCCTTACACAAACTGGCATAGTATTTGAATATAGCCTATGCATATTCTCGTGTATACTTTAGATCATCTCCAGATTAGTTATAATACCCATTGCAGTGTAAATGCTATGTAAATAGTTATTATGCTCCATTGCTTAGAGAATAATGACAAGAAAAATGTCTGCACATGTTCACTAC